TTGAGATGTCACGAACAGACAATTTCAAGAGCAGCATTTACTCTATTGGCTAAAGCCCAGGCTCCATACCGCATACATCTCTCATAAACATTTCAGAAGAATAGCAATACAGGTGCTAGGAACATTTCATTTTCCCAAAATGTCCCACCAATGACTGACTGTTGAAACTTAGCACTTCAAGAGAGGATTTCTCCAAAAGCAATGAAAGACCTTTCTCATTTAACCACATGGGGGTTATTTAATGGAGCCTAAATGTGGGAAACAGAACGTAAATTTGCAGGGATGGAAGAGGTACCCTTGAGTTATTCAGACAACAGGGCTTTGGGCTTTTATAAGGACCAGTCCAAAGATAAGAGTAAGCAGTATTAATAACTCAATGGAGGCAATGATTCATCTACCAAACAATACAAGCCTTTGATGATTGAGAAGCGTTTCATTTGGGTTGAAATAATTCACACAAATCACTGATATCTGCACATGGGTCTCAAATATTTCACATTGAATGGCCGCTGCAGCTGAAGGCTTTCTATTCATCCCCTCTAACCAGTCAAGTAAAAGACGTCTTGATTTTTTAAAACTTCTTAAAATCTTTCATTGAGAAGAATTGGGATGGTCAAAACTGAGAGGAGGGCCCTTTAGTCAGACTGGCCTGTGTGGGGGCTGGTAGATAACTGAACCACAGAGGTTCTCATCTGGGGATTTCTTGAAGGAAACCAATGTATTGGTGTCAACCACATGACTCAGTAGCTTTCCTATTGTCCCACAACTCACTGGGTAAAGAAGCACCTCCTATTCTTGGATATAAACGTACTTCCATGTAGTTTCTGCCTATGTCCTCAGGTTCATGTCTCAGTGTTGAAAATGAAGAGGTCCGCTGTGTTGACTCTGCCAATGCCTTGCATCATTTCCTCACTGTACTATCTGTAATGATACCAGACTCTAGATCACTGATAGAAACGAGCAACTGCAGTGGTTCTAGATCAGAGTCCTAGTACATTCATCTAGTATAGATCCCACTAATTACATCACCCCTACTGGAATGTTCTCACCTTATCTGTATGCGCCGTTTTTTGTTTATTACCCACAGCTCATTCCAAATCCATTCATTTCCATGAGCCTCAAATTGCATGACAGTCCGAAACTCATTCAATGCAAGTACAGCATAGTTCACCAGCTTCACTTCAAAAAAAGTGCTGCACAGTTTCAACAGGATCGGGAATATCTGCAACACTGGATTATTGGAAATGCATTATAAAATGACACTAACAGGAAAGAGCTTAATTGCTGAGCAGGTACCAGCAATCTATTATAAATGTTTTTTATGCAGATATATATACTGCAGTATGTATACTTTGCTTATTTTATTATTTTCACTTTTAGGTATTGAAAAGATTTATACGCAAGTACAAAGGGTGGAAGTATAGAGAGGTGGGAGGGTGGAAGTACTGTATAGAGGGGCGGAAGTATGGAGGAGTGGATGAAGGTGTCGTCCAGCCTTGAGCTCTCCGTGAGAGAAAACCTTTAGAAGGAATGAGAAGCTTTCTGATAACGGAAAGACTGATGGTAAGACATGGGCGAACTGACGTTTCATGGCACGGACCCTTATTCTAAAAGCATTCTCTAAATAGTCGGACAAAAACACTGGCCGTGCCAAATCTCCTACCAGAAATGAAGATGCTAGCCCATACCACAGACAAGCGTCCTGACAGATTGACACTGCAACAACCCGAGTTTATTAGGTAGGAAGAGGAAACACTGAGGGGTGCTCTCATATTCCCAGCCTTGGGCACTCTGTAAGCAAGAAAATTGGCATCCCAAGAACAGAATTCCAGGATAAGGAAAATCTACTGTACCTAGCGAACAGTACCACGGTTGCATTTACTGTTGAAGGAACATCTAAAATCAGAATTTCTAACATAATTCTATTGTACAATGCAATAATACAAAGATATTTAAATGGACAAATACATGGTTGTACCTCTCAAAAAGACCAATGGAGCTGAAATATTTTTTTCTTCCAATTTCTGAAACCGCTTTTATTCAATAAATATCACAGAGCCAAGACAAAATCACATTAAGTCACATCTAGAAACATAGACTAGTCTGAAAGTGCAATATAATTAGAATTTGCCTTAGGTCCTTACCGAGTGTTTTCAGCATTGTTAATAGCAGGTAAAAGTAGGTGTCCATTAATCACTTTAACTTGCTGAAGTGCTGAATTTAAGAATGATGTATGACACATATAGCACAGCTTACAGACTGACAGGCTAACAGAAGAGCAGATTCCTTAGAAATCCTTACCCTAGAATGTCAAAGTAGATCACTAGGATTGCTCACTTTGATGAAGCTGAGATGCGATGATCAGTATGTAACGGAATCCCCAGCACTTTGTGTCTCCCATGTTGTTATATGGGGGGTAAAACCTAGACAGTCTGGCCACAACAGAAAACAGTAAATCTGTCTAATGTCTTCTACCGCTTGAGAACTGAAGCCATTCCACGCTTCATTAAAGAGAACAGTGGTGGTCCCTGCTGTATGCAGTTCTGATGAGCAGTCGTCTGCTCTGGCGTCTGCAGTCAGTCTGATGAAACTGGGACTGGACTGGACCACATCTGTCTGTCCAACACAATGCCACTGCGCAGCCACCTAACTACTGTTAGGTGTGGCACACCTGAAGAAGGCTCCACGGCCGAAACATATTTTCTTTCTTCTCTTTTCAGCCTGGAATAAACCTATTACTTGTTCCTTTGAAGCCTAAGCATGCTGACGCAGCTATCCACCAGAACCACCTAAGTACTGTGATCATTAATGGGTCTCATTGGGTCTCAGTGTCATTGTGCTTAGTTACGGAAAAGCCGTAGTACAATAACAACAGTATTTAACCTGGCAGAGGAAAAGAGAATGGAAAATTCAATTTCAGCAAACTTCAGCAAATTAACAGATCATTGGTGACACAACCACCAAACACAAAAAGTGTTCATGTTCATAAAAGTACCAATCCATTCCAATATAAAATCAGTAATCTGAATGTAGGGTGGAGGACTAACTGTGGTGCGCCACTAGGTGGTGCCTTGTTTTAGTCATGGTAACCACACCCCAGAACCCCATGTGGTCTTGTGAAGGTCGGTGGCTACCATAGTTAACACACAGCACCATCTAGTGGTGCAGCAGAGTCAGTCCTCCACCCTACAAGTGCGTATGGTTAACACGGTCTTACCAGACCCAGCACATTAGTCACAGGACGTCGAGGAACTCAACAGAATACCACACTGCAAGGGCTGTTCCTGTACATCCCAGATACACCTGGGAAACTCCTGAACTTGCATTTCTCACTCCATCCCCCAGTTAAAAAATTCCTCAACAATGGTGCTAAACAAGAGCATGGGACATTAGAGAAAGATTCACAACCATATCAGCTCTCACTCAAATATCTGCATTATTCCTATCCTTAATCCCTTACGCTGCCTGTGCCACCTGAACAAAGAGGCCTTTAATGAGTGAAAATGCACAAGCAAGGACATATTATGACAAGATTATAACACATTATATAATATTTACATCCTCTCTCACTTGCCTGCCAACCTGAATCCCAAATTCACCTCTTTCTTTCCCATCAGAACGGCTGAACTGCACAATCAGGAGCAGAATTACCCATTCAGCAAGATCCATGAATAATCCGACGCTAATTCCAGAGTGGATGGAGAGTGACAGTATCTGTTCTTACACATGTGCAACAAACCGACACTTTTGCTAAAAGTACGCGAACCCCTGAAAACACAAGCGCTCCACACTTCACCCTCATTATAACACTGTCCTTGGCAGACAAGCTGTTTGCCCTTTATTAGAAGGTGCTTGTAACAATGAAGTTGATTTAAAATGGATTTCATGTAGCTGCTAGACAAGGTGCAATAGCCTCATAACGGCAGATAGTGTTCAGAATGACAGCTCTGAATTGAGGGCTGAGTGTATTTGAAATATTGCTACCTAATATGTGTCACAATCCTGCATAAATATTTATACCCTGCTTGGAGGCTTTAGACTTAAGCAACTTGAGTAACCATTTCAGTCATTTGAGAACGACCCCTTTTCCATTCGGTTAACCCTTTCACCAAGCCAGCTCTCCCTCTCTGCTCGACCTCCAGAGAGGCTCTCGGTTCGAAGAGGCAAATCTGAAGCAACCGTAAGCCCCCTCGCTCTTACTGGCCTGACTGGTCTGATTCCCCCCGAGACCTTCCGGCACTGAGAGGGAAAACAATCCCACCCTCTTCCCGACCGAGCCTGCAGCACAAACATCTGGAAGCTCCTGCCCCCGCTGACCGGCAGAGCGCCCAGACTGGCCCCGCTCACTGCAGGGCACGGACGCCAGCCCTTCGCTTCCCTAAGATCTGCTTTCCATTGCTCGACTGTGTTCCTGTGCTCAGCCCAGACATTCAGCGTGCATTTCAACAGGCCATCCATACAGTCGTGCCGTTTCTCTCGGATTCGACAGAGGAACACTTCCCATAAAAAAAAATAAGTACAAAAGAAATAACGACCAGATGTTTTAAGTCGCAACCACCCATCCATGCTGGCAACGTAGTTCATTATATAAACAATAATATAATCAAAAAATGAAAGATGAAAGCTGTGAATGAGTTATTTCATTGCTAAATATAAAGTTAAAAAATAATTTTGACCCGATCTTGATACCGACCCCTCCGATCTCGTCACGGCGACAGAAACTCTAAGCTGCAGGCAGCGGCCTTTTCACAGGGACCCCTGCGCGACTGTGACGGCCCTCGCGCGCACTGTCTTGCGCCAAAGACAGGCATCATTCGTAAAAACAAGGATTTAGTTCTGAAGAATTTCTCCAGGTATGCGAGGCTCTCTACAACCCGTCACACAGCCCACTTCCTGCGGCTGCCGCCTCACTGCCCGGTGGGATTCCAGAGCACAACTATTGAAAACCTGTGCCACCCCGCCATGCCAGGCAGCAGTTCTGAAAGGGAAGCTGTTTTTACCTGTTTGCCAGCAGGGCCCTCAAGGTCACCTGACTCAGTCCCAGATAACTTGGCAGCAGTTTCGGCCAGTCCCAGTCCCGCTCTGTCATGGCTGACTGTTGATGTACGAGGAGAAGCGACTGTTAGTTATTAATCAGAGTTAATATGATCAGTAAATTAGGGCTCCAGCTGCGATAGACTAACTAAGAAGGAGGGAGCCCTGAACAAGGACTCAGACAGATGATATCAATCATGTCCACACAAGAAGGTTTTTATTCCAATAAGACAGCAATTAATTTATAAATCCATTTGGGGATGTAGCTATCATTTATAAAGAGATAAATCAATTTTGGGAGCCGTTATTCTTCCAACTGTTTTAATGGCATCTTGCCCAGCCCCCTTCAAAATTGGAGATCGGCTCTTTGTTAGGAAAGCAAATAAAAATTTCTCTGATCACAGAAATGTCACTGTTCACTTCGAGCTGCCTTTTATTGACAAAAGGAGATGAGCACAAGTGGCTCTCAATTGATGTTTTTTCCCCTGTTTGATTTGACAAACAACAGAGCCATCTCAGGCAGATGAGATAGTTTAATTATTTTCTTAACAAGGAAAATACTAAGAAGGAGGTCAGTTTGCAGTGAAACGGAAGGAAGCCTCAAATTGTTTGTTCAATAAATTTGGCACTGAACATAGCTACTCTTAACATTAGCTGCTCTTGAGAAAAAAAGAGGCTTGGGTTTTTTTCCTGAAGGTCTTTGTGAAAGTATTGAGAAGTTTATGTGGGCCCATCTGGAGCCTGATCCTGAAATAACTGGTGATTTAGGGTGACCGACTAGAATGACTACGGTAGACTGGTGCTCTTCTGGTTCTGGGTGCATCCCCCAAGAGCAATCAAAATCCAAAATAAAATAAAAAAGCCTGGGATTTGCTAAAATGTATTGTGTAAAACCCAAGTGACAATGCACCTGCTTTCCGACCCCCGGCATCAGCTCGAGTTACATAAGAAAGGAATTAAATACTATAATATGAGGCAAATGACATTACAGACGCCGTGTGCTGTGCAGCCACACACCATGGAAAAGTCACAGGCGTCATGTGAGCGATGAAGAAGCACCAGTACAGCAACCCAACCTCGGCCCTCAGCACTCCATGTCACCCAGCTGTCTGGCATCAGCTGGCACCGGGTCAGGTGGGTCAGTGGAAACAGTTTACATATTAAGGTTACACAATTATTTTTAACTTAATAAGTGCATCCTCTGCAACTGGCTCTGCAGATAAAGGTGTCTGCCACACCAGCTGCTAATATTTTAAAAGAAGAAAAGAAAACAAAATATAATTAAAAAAACTGAGCGATTCTGTTGCTGTTGTTGCTGTTGTCTCACAGTCACTGCAGTGTAGCCATTTCACTAAATCCTTCCTGGTCCTTGGGCGGCTGTCATTTCTTTTTAAAATCAAACATCTGACCAGGAAAGAAAACAATTCTAATTAAATAACTTTATTCTCAAGACCTCTAGTCTCATCTTCCCCTTCACGTGAAACCCCTGTGATTGATTGTGCTGCCACCACTACACCACAGTATCGTACTGGACGGGAGAATAAGGCAGCAGGCAAACCAGTCCTCTAGGAAGGAAACACTTCCCCGTTTCAAGAGGTACTGTAGTGACAAGAACTGCCAAGTTCTTTTTCTAAAAGAAACGTCCTCAAGAGGACTTATGAAATTATGAAACTAAGAAAACTGCAAATGAACGGTGGAAAGTGTAATGGTGAACCAGAGGTTTTCCCAAATGCTACGAAAGCGTATGGAGCTGGGAGACTCCAGATTCCAGAGAACCTTCACAGAGCTGCCAGACCCCGAGGGCCTGTCACTTCGACTGTCTCCACTAGAACCCCTTCTGAGATGAATACCGGTGCTAAACGGTGCTTTTTACTTTTTACAGCCCTGTAACTGTGAAAGCATCATTAAACACGATACAATAATAAATATACCACCATTGATTAGTTGGAAAATGGACAAAGCAGAAGTGAACGAGTCCTGCTGAGAACTATTCATAGTTCTGTGTACTTTTAGAGCAATCAGAACCTCAGCAAACTGGCTGTTTTCTCCGGAGAGGTAAATGCATCTCTTTACTTTGTCGCCTTTTGTGCAGTTTAAAGAAATGCTTTTCTGCCCTGTGGATCCACTTAGCTGATAAAATATTTCTACTGAATGAACAGGTACAGTTTGAAACAAAGCAAATGGAAATCTCCTCGCACAGAGCACAGAACAATGCTGAACAACACGTTGATATCTCAGCTGGGATCCCTTCTTTGGGAAGCACAATGCAAGTCCCATAGACCATAGGTGCTGCAGCTAACAAGCACAGAGACACACACAGGTTGATGTAACTGAGTGTTACATGACTCGAGTAATGAATTAATTTTAAGGAGGTTCATCGCCAGCCAGCAAGATGCGTTTTGCCTATATGGTAATTGTTTTAATTTTATATTCCACAGATATTTTCTCGGGAGGTTTTCGATGCATAATCCATTAAATTATGAGCGCACTCACATATACCTCCCAGCCATCAGATATCTGCACCATGAGCCCACGGCAACGCTGTGCCTCCTGGTCCACGAATTGCTGCAAAAAGTGCTGATGGAAAAAGGAAAGCTGCACCCAGCTAAGGAACTAAAAGGCACAGATGGAAATAATACCAGTCTGAAGGTAGTAAAAAAAATCTAGGAAATAACGAAAATGAATTAGTTGCCCTTCGATGTACCAACCTGGTCAAACTTATTGCTCCCGATGTGGCTGAATTCCTTCAAAGGGTTGAACACAGAAGACAGATGAAGCCGATCTGCAGCCGTGAGATTTAAGGTTAATGGTCTTTGTGGAGTGTCTGCCGCCGCAGTGAGTTGGAAACTCAAAAGCTCCTTCAAACAAAGAAATCAGAAGCTTAGAGGGACAAAATGCGAACGGTCTGACAGCTGTGTAATAAGGATAAAACTCAGACAGTAAAACTCACTGGATCAGAGAAAGTAAAATGTAAAAGCATAAGCATTTATAGCACAAAGCTATAACTGCAAACATACAGTAAAATAGGCTGAAATTAGTAACTCTCTGGTAACTTTTATCATTTAAAACAAATTACAACTTTTTCTGGTGCGTCACAAAGGGATATGCAATTTAGCTTCTGACTAGCCTTATCTAAAAAAGGCTTCTTCATAGCAGTCTATGTTGACAATTTGGACTGCCAGTTCCATCTTTAAGAAAAGTATACAGGTAAAAACTAGGCAGTTAGGGGAGTGCCAGCTGTTCTTAATAAGCAAATCAGGCAACATGCTGCAACACACACTTTAGGGATGTACTGTATACAGAGAGACATTAAAATAATTGGGGCCAATAGGATGCGATTTTTCATGTCTCTCAGGATATTATTTGCTTTTCTGAGGAAGCTGGCTCATAGTGTCACTGGTGTAAAATGACTGCACTCTTCCTTTCAGTTTCACCGCTGCACTTTCTGATAGCCCTGAACTTCCTTGGGAAGCTTCAATTCCCCTGCCCTCTCAGGAGCCGCTGTGCACTACAAACACACGGTTTTAAAAGGCAGCACAGCGGTTTAACACGCTTTGAAGAGGCATTCCTGCACGGTAAAGCCCGCGCTCCTCCCTGAGCAGCTCTGCAGGGTGAGGAATGCCACGCTTGCGGTGTGTGGTGAGGGCATCTAAATGATCCTCCCGATCAATCAATCAGCCCGTCATGCATGTGCTGCAGCACCCCCACAACAACTCAGAACACTTTGCAGACTAACGGTATACAGCAGTTGTCAATATTGCACAGTGGCAGTGGGGCATGTGGGAGAAGAGGAGAGGAAAACACACTCCCAGAGGGAGGAAAGAAACCTCTGGGGATCCCAGGCCAGATGTTTACCCCCACCTCCAGGCCACAGGTTTGTGATGCATCAGTCCAGCATCTCCATTTACATTCTCAAACGTATTTAAACTCTCATAATTACAACAACTGCTAATTCCAATTGAATACATTTTCCCATATTTAAATATTAATGTTAATATTATCAATATAATGATATCGCTTGTTATTGTAACACATTTCTTTTCCTGTGTTTGCCTACAAAATACGAGCTTTCACAGATGCAAGAGGTTTTGGGGGAAACGCTGGGGAGAGTTCAGGCAGAACTGAGGCAATCAGTGCAACGTCAAAATTCCCAAAACTTAAAGCATCATTAACTATTAACATGATACTTGTGATTATCAAAACATCTGTCAAAACACACAAAGCAAATGCCCATTAATTGCCTCTGCTGTAGTGTTTAAAACATTTCTGTTTAAAGTGGAGAATTTTTCCACGCTGCTTCTGTGAGCCAGTGGGGTATTGGCATTTATAAAAGCACACAAAAATAACCGCCTGTCAGATTGCTTCCTGTATAAAATTAATAACATTGCATACTTTTCCCAGCTAAAAAATACACATATATCTTTCTGCTCTTGCCATTTATTTTAAGGATTGTTTGTTTCAGGCTCAATCATTTTATTTGAATTCATTTCTTTTCAGTCTATATGTTATTGATCTCAATGAAGTACTCAGTTCCAATAGACAGACAACCGGAGACCTAAGATACTGTATGCTCTGGTCTGAGATATACTGTCTATCTTTATCATACTAAGGCCTTTACATGAAAACAAAAAAGGCACATCACCCTCTTTACAATGCGGTGTAAAGAAGAAACATCATCTCGCGTGCTTGATTAGTTTATTGGTAATATTTTGGGAGTTGCAGAACCATCATTCAACGCTTATACTGGACGTGTGCCGCCTCCCCGCTCTCCCGCTGTCCTTCCTCGACCTTGCACAGTGGGATCCAGGGGGCTAGGCTGGCCGTCTAGTGGAGTAAACCGCTCTGTTTCAAACCTGGAGTGGCTGGAGTATCTGTGTTTAGTGCCGGTCTAATATGTCTGCTTTGATTGCCAGGAGCAGTACACATTTTAAACACAGTTATCGACCAGCCTTTCTCCATGTTGATGACACTCCAGTCAAATTACCACACTTATAAAGTGCTGCAATCATTTATATTTTCAGGTTTACCGAAGGATTTGCATTGGATGCCAGTCTGTCAGTAATATTCTGAGAACACCCTGCGAGTATTAGCAATTTCATGTCTTTAAAGTAAGTACAGTTTTGTGGTGGCGCTTCAAGCGCCTGAGCCCTTTTTTTTAACGAGTCAAATATTTATTTTTATTTGACAGCAAATGAAATGGCTCGAGGTCGCAGCTGTAACCAACAGGAAGGTGGAGTTCCTTCACTTCCTTCATGCTTCTGTCTGTGCCTGAGGAGTACACTAAAGAAATAAGTGGGGAACAAATATACTGTACGTACTGTATCTTGGCATCTTTGCCAATAAGGAGTCAAATCAGACTAGTGTAGTGTGGTTCTTTAATTCATAGGTAGTTGCTTAGTTATGTATTCGTCATATGTTTTGCAGAACTAAAGGAAATGGGTACTCTTTCAGGAGTTTATTTTTGCATCGGCACTCAATTTGCACAATACACCGATATAAATTACTGATTACAAATCAGTAGAAATGTGCACATATAATGGCTGCGACCACCCACTTTGCTGCATTAGATCTCCAGACGATCTGTTTCTAACATTGTGGAACGGGCCCAGGCCGTTGGACGTGTCAATGAGCAGTATAACACAATCGATCGGTGTGCAGGTTTCTGACAGTGGACGTGCTTTCCCGTTAATACAGGTCACACATTAGCGAGGGGCTGACTGACGGCCGAGTGTGGTTTCATCCTGGACTGAAAGGGCAGGACCGGGACCCAGGCAGGGGCCCTCTCCTGGCCCTGCATGGAGCAGACTCTCCTGGAAGAGCTACACAGCCCAGGAAGGAGCAGACTCCACCGGCACGCCGCCGGCTCCAGCGGCTCCTCGGCTCACCCTGAGCTGGTAGCAGACGCTGCCTCAGGCCAGCACACACCTAATTGCTCGGGAAAAAGGCCGTTTCCCTACCTCATTGAGTTGGATGATGTGATAAATTTGCCTCAGGTACTCGCTGCCACCTGGTTTGTGGCAGATATCCAGGACCATCATGCCTATTTTCTGCTCAGTCAGTTCAGGCGCGCTGCCTTTCTGTCGCACCACAATGCTTTCTGCTGGTTCAAATGCACTGACAGGCAGAGAGAAGAGAGGCGACATGAGACCCTTGAAGCACGCTGGAGAGAAGAGAGTTAAACCCCAGGGACGGAAACTTTGCACATTACAATCTCTGTAAGATTTTGATCTGACAGCGTGTTCCTTCTTTAACACTTTAGGCAAGAGGGAACCATCTTCCGTTTCATGTCCAAAACAATTAAATATGCTGTACTTTCTAGCATTTCAGAATTTATCAACCTTGATTAATTAATTACCTTTCCTGTGGAGAACAGCAATGTACATAAATTCTTGGTTATGATCTAACATCATCCAAACACATTTGTGAAATACTGTAAAATGAAAGAGTATCATCTTCTGCAGGAATTACAGATGATTTTTTTTGTAGCTGTTTTTAGCTAACCTTGTCTGACAGTTCTTTAAAACTGTCTTCAACTGAAACATATTTTCTCTGGCACACCTAGCCTCTGTATCCCTGCCGCTTATCACGAAGAGAAATTGCATTTTCTGTTCCTCACGTCTCAGGAGAAGAACAGCAGCTAAAAGGGCTGAAGGAGAAAGCAGGAAGCACGCAGGTCAACGTCAGCACACCCACACGGTCCCCACGGTCATCACAGCAGAGCCCCCTGTTGTGCTTCATCAGAATAATAACAGGAAGCATTTACTGTGACAGGACTCCGCGCTTTGACACAACGCGAGCTGACGACACCTTGATCAGCAGATTTTTTTAAAATAAAAATTAAAATGTATGAGGGCTATAAATTGTGCCACTCTTGCCTCTGCTCAGAATTTTGAGCCAAATGTCTTCACTTTTCAAATTGTATTGTTCCGTCTTTGTTTCAATTACGGTTACTGGATAATGCTGATGTTTTCACTTTTCATTTAATTTATACAGGGGACTATCTCAGTAAATCTTAGCACTGGGTGCTGATGACAGACCGGAGCTGTCAATAATAGTGAATAAAATAAAACAGCAGAAGCTGAAGGCTTGTTTTGCCAGAATATATATATATACATGTACCGTATGTGTGTGTCAACTAAGTTCAGAATTAATTGAAGTACATGTTAAGTATATACGGTATGAACACGAATAAACGTACATCTAGTGTCCATGCAGGTGAATATGCTTCGCACTGCACTGTAGCAAGGGCATAGAGCCGGCTGCCCTCCAGGTGCAACCCTTTAAACACCTGCACCTGTGCCCTCTCCTGCGCGGCCCGTCTCCGAGCGCGCGCCAAGCAGCGTTCCCGGGCCCTGATGTAATTCCGCCTGGCAACGATCCGCAGTGTTCTCCTGCCCTTCTACACTGTGCATTTTTATGACCGAGCCGCATGTCAAGTTAAAAAATGAACACTTTATTCCAGATAGACTTAATGTCATTGTTCCCCCCCCCCGTCCCACCCGCCCGCCTCTTTCCGTCTCTTTCCCGGCCTCCCCCTCTCTCGGAAACGCGACAGTGCCAGGAACAGCGTCACCTGTCAGGCATCTTCTGAGGGCTGACATTGAAAAAGTTGAGGCCTCTCTGACCAAGGAGTGTATCGGTGTCAGCACCTGGGTTGTATCCTTCCCTGTCCATCACCGTGCAGGTGAAGCAGATGATTGGATTCAGTCAGCGCCGTGATTAATGAGTTCCTCTCCGGATTTGGGACAGCCTATCAATCATGTCATTAGGGAGAACGCGCCCTGAAAGAGGCAGACCTCAGCCAAGGCATAACTGCATTCATCTTAATCTGTGTATGCATCCAGTCAGCCAAGTCAGGGTCACCATGATGGAAAACGATAATCTTCTCCTCTACAAATTACTTTGCAAAGACGAATATTGCTTTATTTTTTGGACTTGCAAGCTCTCTCTGCAAGATGTACTGTACACTGATTGTTTACAACTCAGGCGTCACTTCAAAGTGAAGGTTATTTTAATGAATAGTAATGATTTCACAGAGTGTCGGAGACAGGTGATACATAACTGCCTTTTCTCCTCTTTTTTTCCTGCCTTCCTGTCACTGAGGCCACGGTGATTCCTGGAACACTTAAGGTAATCTACTCATCTTTCCTTTCCCTTTTTTTAAAGACACTTTAAAAAGGATTAATACTTCCAGACTTTTCGAACATCATCTGAGCGCTGGCTTCCTTATGACATTCAGTCCGAGACTCGAGTTCAGGTCTGACCCCGACGAAGTCAACGGCCATTAAAAAAATAACAAAACAAAACCTGTTTTTCCCCCGCATGTTCTCATTTTTTACGTACTCGATATAAAAACAAAATTTAGAAATATCTGCATTTGAATCCCAAAAATAAAAAAAAATATGTGAAGCAAAGTTATATTCCTAATATTTATATTATTTAATTACTGCAGTCAACTTAACTTTTTGCGATGTTTTTTCACAAAAAGGATGGCTTTTAATATTTTTAATTTAAAAAAAAATAATGTAAATTTTTCAACGCCATACTCAGAATGTGGGTAGTGTTTATCTGGATTTTCAGCATGTATTATATGAATAATATCTGATACTGTATTACTTATACTCATATTAGGATCACTTTTTCCAAAGACAAACCTCAGCATTATCTTGAAATTAAAATATTGTGTGAAACAGGATCACATAACTAGCTTTTAACTACTGCTGATTTTACACCCATATGGTGAGTTGCATTGTTCAAATCTATTAATTAGGATATTCAGACCACTCTGAGAACGGCTTGAAACTGTACTGAATGCCAAGCTGGACAGGGAAACAGTGACGATTTAGTAAGCAGCCCTGAAAATAAGTGATTCCACTTAAAACATTGATCAGCACATAATAAGGGTTTCCTTGCCAGAACTAGATAATGTGTTTAAAGTTACTGGAGCACATTTAACACTTACACAAGCCATCTCTAAGATCTGAAGACCTCTGATCGAACTATTATCTTTGTCTGTTGCTGAGAAGCAGCTGCTGATCACCACCTTCTGTATGGGATGGTGCTCAAACATGGCAGAAAGAAATTCCCTCACAAAGACAAAGCAGCCTTACGCCTCAGTGCTCAGCCTCCTTGCCTTCTGCAACTGGATCTCCAGCCACCTGGGTCTCTGTGCCTCCAGGTGCTGAAGGACCTTCTGCACGGCGGGTTTGGGGGCGCCCCTCTGCTGCCCCAAGACGCCCTGCAGGCACTCGCTCAGCAGGCCCAGCTTCTCCTTGCCCCAGCGGTCCAGCGCGGCCTCGGTCAGCCGCTCCAGGGCGTCGCCATCTTCCAGAGTGTGGCACAGGGTGGCCACGCAGCTGCAGACCAGCAGCCCTGCCGGCCGCGGCTGCCGATCGCCGCGGGCCAGCCGGCTCTCCGCCACGCAGAAGAGGTACCTCACTGGCGCAGGGAGGGACGCCACCAGGGAGGGCAGGTTGGTGAACACGAAACACACGGCCTGGGCCACCAGCTGCGTGAAGCCTGGATGGACACGCAAGTTTTAGACTCGTTACCGAGGGCCCGAGCTTCTGCTCGAGACTCCTTGACGTTGCCCTGAGTGTGGAATTGCGGGATGGCTCCAGCGGGGGGTGTGGGGAGGGGCGAGGAGGAGCAAGCCACCGAAATCAGACTCTTCATCACTTCCCTCCCTGTCAGCAGCGGCCGGAGCTGGCCATGCTCACCGACACCCCTGCAAACCCACAGCCCTCCAGGATGTTTCCTCACGCGCTCGGGACGCCCCGGCTGACTCACGACCCCCAGTCTCAGCAGAGCCCAACTGGCTGGATATCACGGCGGCTGCCTGGGTCTCCCGGACACGACCGTCAACTAGCTGGAAACGTCAGGCCTGAATGCAGGCCTTCATGAGGAACTTTTGATGAATTTGGACTCTGATAGCGTGGGTTTAAAAAAATACTGTGAACAAGTGGGCAGAACGGTGGCTGGCATTGCTGCCTCTCAGCGCTGGGGCCCTGTGGAGTTTGCATGTTCTCATTCCGTGTTCGTGTGGGTATCCTCCCACAGTCTAAAGACATACTGGCAGGTTACCTGGCTTCTGAGACAGCGGGCCGTGGTCTGAGTGTGTCTGTGTGTCGGCCTTGCCTTGTACCCTGTTTACAAAATAGACGGATGGATGCGAACATACTAATGCTGTCGGGACTACAAAAAAAAAAGTTGAGGACTGCAATACTTACTTTTCCCAGTCTGCTTCCTTTTAATTTCTCGGGGTGTGTAAGCCCACTCCCTTGGGATTTTATTGAGCAGGCTTTCCGGAACCATGTGCTTGTGCGGGTGTGTCCCATGATGCTCAGCGTCTTGCCATGCGTTCACCATGGAGACGAGGTGCTGGACTGCATCCAGAACGGGCTTAGAGACAGCGGCTCTCAGACACTTCAACACCCTCGGCTCTGCTTTGCTGGCATCTGTTTTAGAACAACGGCAAAACACAAACAACGCAGGAGCATCAGTCCATTTGTACAAAATCCCCCAAAACAGAGCACCTGTCTGGGGTTCCTAACACTTATTTTTATTTCTCACACACAAGCACCCTTTCAGGCCAACAGCACCTGAAGTGATATTGTTAGAACACAATATCAGGGTTGATCGGCCTTGTTTATTTTTACCAATGCCACTTGTTTCCAGCTACTTTGAAACTTATATTTAAAAGCTTTCCTGTTGAACATGCAAAAGGGCATTCAATTACTTGCATCCAGCAAATGTCATGTACCCTGCAGTTCAGTTCTGTCAGAATATTACTTTTTACATATTATAAAGAAATAAAACACATGCGATACTGTATTACTGCGTTTTTTCTCAACGGTATGGCATAGCACATCACAGTAACATACCTTCAGATATTAAAAAGGTGTGCCGCAGAATTTCAGAGAAGTCACACATGAGAAAAATAACTTAATTAAAATATTCTCTCTGTATTTATTGGTTTGGTGGAGTGAATGCATCCGGTGGAGTGCACACATGCGAGACAGGGGCTCTGAGACTCTGGGAATGTACACGTGGGGATCTCACATGCTGCAAGCTGACGGATATAAAAAATAAAAACAGTGGTCGACTCAGAGCTGCCGAGCAAGAGCTCCATGTTTCAATGGCATTAAATCCTCTCGGGAGAATTCAGGTAGACATGTCAAACACAGAAGGAAATTGTGTTTCTAATATTCTAATAATGTGCTCAGTCTGTGTGTGTGTATTTGTGAGGGGCAGTGTGATGCAAAGTCTGTATATTTAAGTGGAAAAGAATGAGAACGACTTTATTAAAGCACGGCTAAACAATGTGTAACACAGTAATGCAGTCCAATGCCCAATCTGGCATTTTTTCTTGATTTCTGAGATGAACATTTTACCACAAATATGTTGCATCCAAAATCACTACAGAGATGTGTAAGCCAAGCCAGCAATTAGGCTCATTATACCGCAAAGAATATATCATCATAAGAAAGACATCGAGATTACGGGACAAACTTTTGTTTTCTTTCAAACCCTCTTCTCTCCGATTTGTGAAAATTATGCAACAATAATTACCACTTGCATGTAATAAAAATACCTACACGAGTTCCGTCACTGCATGAGTCCTGATTAAACCTAATATCAAGGGTTTTCCTAAAACGAGTGTCAAAAAATAATTGCAGGCTCATTCCCCCCCTACTAATTTACTACTACAGTTACCAAGACAGGCAGTACTGGTTGTGTGAAGCACAAACGAACTTTACAGAATGTGATTTTACTTTAAGTACATACTGTCTCATTCCCTAAGTTGTTCTTATTCTGGGAAAGCATGAGCTACGACTGTGTATCAGATGTACTCTACTGTGTGAGTAAACACTCACAGGGAAACCGAGAAAGCCCAATACTACTGAAATTTAAAAGGATTTGATGTCAGAATATGAACAGATTTGGCAGGAACAGCATACATTTGGAGAGTGAACAATCTGTCTGTTCTAATTTATGTTTTCCAATTAATATGTTACAGCTTGCTAAACTATTTAAAGAATCTTCAATTAATAACACTAAGCCTTCCTGGAAGGATATTTTCCTGTGAAGGAGATGTTAACATAGGGATTGAGAAATAATGAGTGTCAGGTGACTGAGGTACTCAGAGACTGGTTTAGTTGTCTACTAAAAATTTCGGATTTTTTGTGTTTTTTGACACAGCCAGACATGAAGCCTCCTGAGTCATTTCGAGCACACGTATTCTGTGTGGCATCGTAGTCTAGATTATTATCTCAGCAGATCTACCTCCTCCAGAATCATTAAAATCGTAGCAATTTCTGCTACAATCACGTTTATTATAATCACTAAAAGGAAGAATATGTTTACAGGTATGCTGTGAAATACAATTATACAGTTTGGACTGGTCTATGTACCTATAACAAACACTATTTAAGCTGATTGTTTTAGATGGGTTCAAGGCGTCTCCTAGGAAGACTGTTTAAGGGGAAGCTGGATGCAAAAAGTGTGGCTTGACTGAAGTCACTGCGCAGGGGTTTAGCAGTAACACAAGAACAGTGCCTATGAGTTTTTCGCTCATGTGAAGACTCCAGGTCTCACCACCCAGGGACAACAAACGACCCCGAGCGCATGCTGGCCATCCAGCAGGGGCTTGATCGCTGCAGACACACTGTCAGGGAGCTGCAGGTCCTGCCATGGGGATCGCAGACCCCACAGAGTTCAGAGAGAACTCCCCATGGAGCACAGCGCCTCACAGCCATCCCACAGTCAGGGGGCTTGCCTCAGATCACAGCACCTCTGTTCCTTTCTGCTTTCAGGACATTCCTCTTTCAGAATAATACAGCACGTTCCCTCACATGGCCAGATAGCTTGTTCCACATCTCCCACTCTGATCAGAGCTTGACGTGACAATCCATCACCCTCCTGCTTTATCCCTCATCCTGTCTGATGCAGAAGGAGAAAGTGGAAATTGGACGAGAGCTACAGGCACCTGAGGGTCTGGGCCAGGTTTTTTAACACGCGTGAGATAGCAGCAGACTTTAAGCCTGCAGGTAAAATTCCACATTTCAGGATGATTCTGTGATGAGATAAATGGACAAAGACCAGAGAAGGCAGATTAGAGCAGAATGACCTTAACATAGGCAGCTCGTGTCTGCTTTTTACTACCGCTTCAGCCCCATAAACAGCATCTACAGCAACTGCAGCAGCAGGGAAATGAGAGAAACTCCATGTTCAGAAAGCAGAGCGTACAGTAGTTGTCCAGACTCCAGGAGATGAGTTCAGCAGCTGATTAGTAACATGAAGTGTGCTGCTGTGAAATTATAGATTGAATGTGTTTGGGAGAGGAAGAAAAAGCAGTCATTATCAGGCCTGAACCTTTTATCAATGGTAAAAAAGCACTGTAGATTGTGCACTGTGCAATCCAGTCATGGTCAGCTCACTTCTGTGCTTTCCCTTTGCTTCCTTGTTCTGACAAAGTGCTGGGCTCCTTCCCACATGTTCCCAGATGTTCCTCCCATCTGGTTTGTTCAGGGGCCACAGTCCCCCAGGCTGTTGACGTTTTGTCTTTGAGTTTGCGTCCACCACATCTCTGACACACTCCTTCCGGCCTCCTCTGGTGCGATTGCCTTGGCGAAGCTGGGAGAAGAGAATCTTCTCTGGGAGCCTGGAGTCTGACATCCAGAGCCGATGCTGGATGAGCACAGCTTCAGCGCTGGTGGTGCTGTCTGGAAG